TTAACATCGCCCGATTAATACATCTAAAATGACGATATATGTATGTAAGTTCCATAAAAATTGTTATATAGCGGATATAAATAATTTCAACTTTGTAGCAGTACTTATAGATGGTGTAGTAAAGCAAATACATTTTTCGATTACAAGAACTTTTGAAATTGGTTCATCTGAAAAAAAAAGAATAGAAAAAAATAAAAACCGATCCGATATTTGCGATTGATCCTGGAACAAAGAAGAGCTTTTGGTGTAGATGTTAATGATTATAAAAATTGGTTTATATATTTTATCCACGACTATTGTATAATGTACCCATTATACGTCTGTTTGCTCGACCTTATTAATACCCATTAATCACGGCAGTGATTAATGAGTCATTAATCACTACTGTCAGATGCTTCCTTGATTTAGCTATTATATTATATTGTTCTGCTACAATCAATCGGTTTTTAAAATTTTATCGTGTAAACCACTAAATATTTTCAATTCAGTGCTGTACATATAAAAAAAAAATTTTAAAAAGTGAATTTTCCTAGACCAGATTCGAACCCGGGACCCGCGGTCGGAAGGGAAGGAGCATGTACACTGAGCCATCAGCGACTTCGTTTGTGCATGTCGTATATCTGTTTCTTAACATACCATGTTTTTCGAAACATTTCATAAATCTAAGTAATTTTTAAAACAAAACAAATTTGACTCAAACCTGTCAACATTATTGTTTGTGTGCATAGATTTCTCAGTGTTTTGATATTTTGTGTTAAATTGTGTTAAAAAACGAACTAAAAACAAAAAAAACTTCAACAAAAATATTTAGTAGTCGTGGATAAAGTATAGTATTCTACTCCCGTATAATGGGTATTATCCACTCGGTGATTTAGGCCACTCGCCTGCGTCTCGTGGCCGTAAACTTCACCTCGTCAATAATACCCATCATTATACGCTCGTTGAATAATATACTATAATAGACCTTAATTTTTCTGATAATCTATAAATAATTAGATAATTGAATCTGCTATATAGTAAAGAAAATATGTGGGATCATCTACAGTAGATGGAAGAAGGAAGACAAGCAAAAATACATAAAATGAAGGTAAAAAGAAGGCCAAGGAAAACCTAGGAGAAAATAGTATGAGAAATATTAAAGAAAAACCATGTAAACACGGAATGAAGCAAAAAAAAATTCACGAACTTTGAGGTCATCTAGCGGTTAAACCAAGCGATTTCGGATATTGGTGAATTAACCTAAATCTACCTATTTTGAGTCCACGAATCTGTGGTCTTCCGTTGTACACGTTATTCTGGGACACCCTGTATATACGATTACAAACTTTCAGAAATATTGAAGGACGTCTTCGAGAAACTGGTTACCTTAAAATTAACAGAGATATTGTCGGACGTTCTAGTCAAGGTCGAACACCCATCATGGAAGAAGAAATCCTGGAAACGGTTCTTGGCAACCAGTTTCATAATATGAGTACTGTAGTCGCTAAAAGTACAGTGAACAATGAACAACTTCTACCTCTTGATCCTGCTGCTCGTCTTCAAACCTCCAAGAATATTTTCCATTACAGAGTTGGAGATATCAGTTTCCACAAGAAAATTCTTTTCACGGACTAATTGTGTTTTACATCTATAACCAGAATGTCTGTGAAGATGAAGACCCCCTGTCGTTATGGAAAAGACACTTTCAGCGCGTGGATTTATTTTATCAGTAACACTTACTGCAGTCGCAATGTAAGAGAACATTCAAATGATCAGCATCTAGGCAGATGGTCGGCACGGGGCACAACACGCCGATTCACTGGCCACCACGTTCACCTGTATTAAGTCCCTGTGATTTTTTATTAATTTCGGGAACGTTAAGACAAAAAGTGTACTCTGTGAGTATTGGTAGTGATGGACAACTGTGGCATGGGATTGAAGCTAAGTTATTTTGTTTCTGTTATCAAAATTACTTCAAGTTTGAATTGAAAAATAGGTGGAAAAATATCAATGTGTCAAATTGTCACGACGTCTGAACAAAGTATAATATGACCACAGATATAGGAAAATACGGTAATAAACAATTTCCCGTTAAAGAAGAGCTGCTGAGTTAATTCAAAGTGAATTAGCAAATTTTTTTGCCACTATTAAAATCCACATGCATTACTCTGGCTCTGATATTTGTTACACATCAGAACAAACCAAAAAATACACAGTTTTATTACGGAAATGTTAGCGAAAGTATTTTTTTACAGTTATTTACCAACCGGACGTAAAACAATTACCCCCGTAAAAGAATTTAAATATTTGCAGCAGCTGCGGTGGGCGGCGTGCCCATCGAAATAAATTTTTGCGCGATATTAAACAAAGGAATTCCGAATTGTCCATGGGCTGTGTAATATTAGTTGTCCGGGACATCGTGGTCACTACATAAAATACGGCAAGGCCGAAATAAACGCTGAACTGTCTCTGGCGCTATCCATAAAAAGTAACTACTCTGAAATAAACACTATGCGCCGCAGTCCGCTCAAATTATTTGTTAATAGTTGTCGTTCCCTCAACGACACACGGCCAGCGATTACTGTCATGCTCTCACACCCACTTTAATACCGTGGAAACTGGGTATATTTTTGATATAGATGTTTAATTTTTATTATAGTCCAGTCACTGAAGCATTTTGGCTATCACTTTTTTCTGATAGAATAGATTGACGTGAAATTTGAACTGTAGCTAGGGAATAGCCCAAGAAACAAAAGTAATATAGTGCCGATGTGTGCTTTTACCCTAAGGGTGGATGCCACCCCTTCTGGAGGGTGGGAATTTTTTTTTATTAAAATTAGCCTCACGATTCGATAGAGGGATGAATTCTAAGCAAAAAATGTTCCATAAGAATTTTTTGTATAGTTAATACTTTTTGAGTAATTTGCGCCTAAACATTTTTAGCCCAAAAATGCATGTTTTTCAGGCATTTTTCGCGAATATCTCAAAAACTACAAGTTATATCAAAAAAATTATCATAAGCAAAAATGAAGGTAATTAAATAGCAAAGAGATTGCTTTTTTAATTTTTGTAGGTGGTATAGAACCTGAGTTATGACTCCCAGAAGTTGAAGTCAATTTCGGAGAGAGCTATCTATAATCGAAACGTTCGAGGTCTTGTAGCGGAAAAATTAAAGGTTTTTCGAGGAAAACTTATATAACACTTATTAAAGTTCTCGAAAAGATCTTTATATTAAGTGGTGGTAAAAGCCGTTAGCATGAAAACTAATGAAGTTACAATCAATAAAATGATTGCCTGAAAAAAATATCGGCATTAAAATTAATGACTTGACGTAAAAAAAAATTAAACGTATTCCTTCTGCAATTTACTTTATTTATGTATTAACAGTAGATTCTGGGAATTTTGAACGAATTTAGATGCCCAAATTAAAAAAAATATTTCATTTACTTTTGAATAAAATTTTTAAATTTTTTAAAAAATCGCCTTTTTTTCAAAATAATTCAAAAACTAACAAAGTTATTAAACAAATGATATAATAAGAAATTGTAGGTTTTGAACAATTTGCTTTTTTAAATTTTTGTAGGACAAAATTGGACTTGAGTTATGACCGTTAGAAGCTCAAAACTAAGCTCCAAGGCTGCCTTTCCCGAGTCCTTTCGGCTTACAAATCTAAAAAACGAAGGGCTCAAAAAAACTGCAAATCACTTGCACTTGAGGGTTGCAACTTTGTAATGAGTCGTAAGTTTTCTATTGATTAACAAAAGATATGCAATACATTGTGAATACACCAAAATAATATTTTAAACTGTAATAAACTTTTTTTTCTATTTTTTTGGCCATGGAAAGATAGTTTTTAAGGATTCTTAAGGGTTGAAAAGTAATTAAATTTCCTAAATTATATTAAAAAACATGAAAGGAACTTTATCTAACATATTTGAACATATTGAATCTTTAAAATACGTTTCACCCCCAAATAGAAAAAAGCACACATCTAGAAATATAACTTTTGAAGTGGGGGGTCAGATAAGCTTGTATGCAATTTTTTCAGAAAAATCCATGCTATCCGAAAAAATTCCGGGAACTTTTACATTATTTTCGCCTTCAGTGACTGGACTATTAGAGGGGTAACTGTAACTGAGCACAGTATATCTGTGAATACATGCTCTAGACAAATCCACCCTAAATAATTTCTTAAATTCTAATTTTATAGCACTTGTAAGCAGAGCAACTTCAGGTAATATGGCAACCTGTTTTTAATGATACTGTGCGGTATAGATGGAAGCGGTTATGATGAAATTGAACTCACCCTCAAAGAAGTGTCCCCGACGCGACACAGCGATCCTCCTTCACCAATCGTGCAATATACCGGATGCAATATAGCGGGTCTTCCAATGCAGCATAAACAGTGGGGAGAACAGAGCAAAAGCGGGAGCGGGTTCTTTTAAACAACAGAAACAGCGGGGAAACACTTTCCGTTGACTTTCTCTTGACGTGGGTATTTTGTCCGTTTTCAAGATATAGGATGCAATAAAAATAGTTTTTTTTTTCAGTTTTTTGACGATACCTCAGGAACGGTGTATATTTTAAATTTGTCCATCCAAACACTTTGATAAAATTTAAGCTTATTTTTTATTAGGGATATAGGTAGATAAATAAATAGAAATGAACAAACATACTTTTCTATCTGCTATAACTCGTGGATGTAGAAGATAAAACTGAGGTCATTTTCTGCGTAGGCAAAACTTCAACTCGCAAATACTATCGACTCCTACCAACTAAAACTTTCCATAAGGATAACTGATTAAAACTGATAGATAAACACGAGATGAACTTTTAACGATCATTTCTGTAGTTGGTAGAGTGTTTTTTACTCCTACGAAAATGCGGTTATTACTGAAAGCAGACAGAAAAATTCTCCTCATTAAAACTTCCAGTTTACATATATTTTATTCGATTGTCTCGCTCGCTCTCCCTGATTTGCCACGAATGGATTATTTACTGAATTTTTTTGACTTACTTACCTGGACCATTAACGAGATGCCAACAATTCCTTGCGACTTGTGTTGCGCTTCTGACATATTGTGGTACAATTCTTTGTTAAATCCGTATAACTGTATCTGAAAAAAAACACATAAATATGAATAATTAACAATATACTTATATTTACAAAAGTTCCGTTTAGCTTAGTTTTTTATATTTATTGTACTCGGTCAAAAAATAAATGTAAATTCAAAGGTATTTGAGTGAATTATTTTATAAATATTTTACAGTTAGAACAAAATTTAAAGGGCTGACATTATTAACATCAAATAATTTAATTCTGAAACGATATTTTAACTTTAAATCGATTCTTTTGCATCCTCCCGTAATTACTACTACTTATTTTAACGTCATTGAGAATGTTTAGTGACACCTTGTATATAAAATTTTCTTTATTTCATTATGCTTTCGATGTATAGATATAATCTATGTCTTAAAATATCGTAAGAATAAGGTAAAAAGGAATAATCCATACATTGAGATAAAAAATTGTGATTTTCAATTATATTAGAGCGAAAAAAGGAACTCTATATTCCAGATAACTATAACTTTCGCGCAAATTGCCTTTTACATCAAAGCAAGCTGTGAGTTGAGGAACTATATCATTTGCTGCGTCGGAGCACAGAAATATGGAAATGTTTCTTCGGAAATAAGAGATCTTTTGTGCAAAGCCAAAGCTACAGTCAAAGATATGTAATAAAAAAATATTTAAAATTTAATTCCATAGGAGAGATAGATACAATCTACATTTAACACATTTGAGAATTTATAGATTTATAGATCATAAAGCTTACTAAAGTTTAATCGCATTTATAAAATTTCACTTCACATGATTATTATGTTCATATCATATTATGTTTTATGTAGCAAAACCAAACTCTTTATTTTACGCTTGATTAAAAGCAAAGACCACATTTTATAGAGGGATTATCGGGAAAATGTTATCCGTGAACTTTAGATGCATACGGCTAATGATAAATAAGGATACAGTAGCTATTTTCCAACAAGATAGAGAGCAAATTTAATCTCGTAGAAAATATGCATAACTCCGCCCAAAACTTGGGTTTATAAAGTTCACAAAGTGTTTTTTGTGCTCGTGTAGTTTGTTGAACTTTGTTTACTGATCCAGGAAAATCCACACTAATTTTTACTCTTCGAACTACTTTACTTTGAAACAAATTTTATTGTGCTGTAATGATATCAGTAACGCAAAATGTTTATTTGTATGATTGTAAATGTCTTTCACGTTGCTTGTATAATGATATTAAAGAAGATATTTAAGAAATTAGTTAGATATACACTGAACCCAGTCAACCACTTCTTTCGTCATAAAATTCTTCATTTTCCCCATTAAATTCATATTAGAACCCACATATTCTTTTGCTGTTTATGTTTTCCTTTGCTGGCTGAAACATTTATATTTATTTGCACAATTCTAATTTTGACTGAGAAATAACATTCTTTGTTGATTTGTTGAAGTTTTTTTCGACTCCTTGCAGTAACCTGTTGAATCTCTGGGGGTTTTTGGTTTTTGTATAAATCACAATTTCCAGCAGCTTCATTTGCCAGAATTAGTTGAATTTATCATTAATTAAAAATAAAATAATTGACATTTGTTAATTTTAATTTTCCCATTTTGATGAGTAAGTATATGATTGAAGGTGGCCAAGAAAATTTTCTATGTTATTATAACAAATGCTTAAGTTAAAGGTGAGCACATAGCTGTTTCTTCAGTTTGTTTGTAAAATTAGTCCCTAAAGGAGAGGAAAGTTCGTGTGCATATTTTGCTGATTCTACTAAACTCTCGTTCTCTTGTTTTCTGCAATGAGTTTTGGATATAGTTTTTTCGAAGCTACTTTAATTGGCTGTTTTGTTAAGAATCACGTCAGATCTATACTTACTATAATGTCTTTTGTCATACAATCTCCATCTTTGTTTGACATGGTATTCAATTTCTTCCACTAGGTACTTAATCTTCTGTGGCACGAATGCGTAAATTACAAATCCAACTACACTCACAGAGTGGTAGATTAGTTTGTGAATCTTTAAAAGGCAATAAAGCTGACATGCTCTAGAGTCGGTTAGAGTGAAAAGTCCATGTAATTTAGTAGGACTGTCGAAATGCCTAGCCACTTCAAATTTTTGCTCGGATTGTTTTTGATATTCTTATTCATTGGCTTCTATAGTAAGTTCTCCACCCTGAAGGCGTTTTCTTTCACGTCCAAGACGACGGCTGAGTTCGATTTGTTGACAGGAGAAGTGAGAAGTGAGGATTTTCCCGCAGATTGATACACTAGATTTTGATACAATCAGATTCGAAGGTTTTAACAATTCGTTACATGGGGTGTTATAAGAACCTTTCTTTCTTCCTTCATTTTTTTCGGAAAGCGTCGAAGTGTAGTTTCCAGGGTGATAATAATTATCTCCGTTTCAGAAAAGAAATTATTTTCTATTAAAGCCACATTGTTGTGGAATATTTAGGAAAAGGCTTAATTTTTTACATGGAAATGTTGAGAAGATAATTTTATTAACGTGTGTATAAAACTAGGCGTCCCATAAAAAATACCGCCGCGCGTAAAAAATAAATAAAGTGCTAAAATAAATTTATAATAGCGGTAACTCTACCCTGGTTAGCCCGGAATAGCTAATAAAATCCTATCCCTTGGGGAAAATTATTATCGAGGTTCAAATTTCCCATTTTCTACTTTCTCACACTTAGTGTCGCCAGTGATTAGTGATTGTTGATGGAGCCTGTCCCCCGGGACATTTTCATGTCGAATTACATTCAGGGCGAATCCCTGATCCTCTGCCAGCAAAACGTGAAACTAATCCGATGCCGGGATTATATCCGCCGGTGCAAGACGACGCTGGTCGGAGAGTTCGCACAAAATAACAGAAAAACGACGGATTTATTTCGCCGAGTACCAAGATAAACACACAGTTGTAATATTCAATTCTATCGTGATTTCACAAATAAAACAGTTTTTAATAAAGGCGCGATATGTTAAAGGTGAAATTTTGAATGAAACTGTGAATAATTTTGGATAATTAAAAAACTAGGAATGACAAAAATATCGCACAAATATTGAATATGTATAGTTCTTTAAATTTCTATTTATTTATTTTCTGGGGACAAAACATTATGATATCACAATATTAGTACAATTAAATGGGCCTTTAAACGTAATTTTGGTCAACTTGCCTGAATTTTTTATATAAGTTAGTTTGAGGTATATTATAACAATAAGTGACAGTAATTTTTTTCAACCCCTGGCCAGGGGTGAAAATATAGGGGTTTTTCAAGATCACTTAAAAGGAGTAAGAGTTAGAAAAAAAAGGTTCTTATAAAAGTTGTAGAACATAAGAATGATCTAATTTTTCTTGTACTATTAAAATTAATAGAGTTAGGGAGACTAGAAGTTGAGAGATGATTTCAGAAATTTAAAAAATCATAACAAGTACAAAAATGAATGAATTTTATAATTTCTTTTTCAATCTACTCTAAAAAATGTAAACTATATTTTCAGTTATAATATCACAAGAGCATAGAAAATATTCGATTATACTTCCGAGTCACGAGACGTATTCTGCGAAACACCACGACAGCGTAGCTGGAGTGGTGTTTTAAGGATATACGTCGAGTGAGGAGGGGTTAGTATAATCGAATATTTTCGTTTGCTCGAGTGGTATTCGATACGATTACATAATGATTAACTAACTTTATTGGTTACTAGTACGATTACATAATAAATTAACTAACTTTATTGGTTACTAGTGAAATTAAAAGTACAATTATTATAATAAATATTTGTTGTATTATCCTTAGAGGATGAATTTGAAGTGCTGGCGATAGTAGAATTGGCAGAATCTTGTTTGTTTCTCATCTTTTCAATACATAGTTCTTCAGAAGTTTGAGCAGAAAGCTTACAATTTCGCTGTTCACAAAATTCTGTAAACTGCTTCCAGACATATTTGTGCGTTTTTAAAGTATTTTGGGGAGTTAGATTCTCTATTTGTTGTTTGATTTCCAATTCAGAGCTTGAACCGAAGCGTTCCATTTTTTTTGACGTTTATTGACAAATGTTAAAATATCGTTACCATGACATAGTTCTCATTGTTGGAGGAGGCAAAACACCAAAACGGTTATACCACGTCGTCAAAAGTATAATCGCTTATCAATACATAGTAACTACGTAAAATTTGTAATTGCTATTGGCTAAATTTCTAATGAATTATATAATCAGAGAAATAGATATATTTTTTATTTTTAGTTAAAAAGTTATAATAATTTTAAAAAGAGAAAGTGATTTTTTATTTCTAAAAAAATATTTTAGAGTTAGATCATAAAAATTAACGATTAAAAACTGGAAATTGTTATAACTTTATTATTAAAAATTAAAAATATATCTATTTGTCCGAAAATAAAGTTTATATTTTTCAGAGTAGATTGAAAAAAAATTATAAAATTCATTCATTTTTCTGCATGTTATGATTTTTTTAAACAGATATCATTACTTAACTTCTAGCCACCCTAACTCTGTTAATTTTAATAAGGCAAGTTGATAATTGCGATTTAAAGGTCCATTAATTGGACTATTAGAATAACACCTAAGTTCGGACCCATATACTTTCCGAAACAGTTTCTAGGTGACTAAACGGTGACAAGTGAACAATCAAAATTACCAGAATTGAAAAAAAAGCAAAATAAACACAAAATATTTTGCTTGACTTACAAAAAAAATTCAGAACTGAAATCGATAATACACTGCTCAACAATAATTGAACTGGATACTTGTGATTATATAATTCATTAGAAATTTAGCCTATAGCAATTACAAATTTTACGTAGTTACTATGTATTGATAAGCGATTATACTCTTGACGACGTGGTATAACCGTTTTGGTGTTTCGCTTCCTCCAACAATGTGAACTATGTCATGGTAACGATAGTTTTAACATTTGTCAATTAACGTCAAAAAAAAATGGAACGCTTCGGTTCAAGCTCTGAATTATATAATCGTATCGAATACCACTCGAGCAAACGAAAATATTCGATTATACTAACCTCCTCACTCGA